CAGAGAGCACAGGAAATATCTGCAGCACTGCATGGAGAAACCCCAACACAAAAATCCTAATTTCTTCCTTTGGTAACTCATTGCAGCAGCTCCCCATCACACAGCTAGAAATCTTCACTGGCATGGAGTTAATTCTCCCTTGCCACAAGCTGCCTGTTCAAGACCTGGTTAGAGCTTAAGAGACAAGGAAAATATTCGAAGTCATGTTTTAAAGGCCTCTAACATTTTAGTTCTTTTCCAAATTCTGAATGAGGAGCTGCAGAATTCTGCATAAAACAGCCCACTGAAAAATGGAATAGTAATTTCTAACATGTCCTTTCAGGAAAATCCTAATCTTTGTATGTTTGGGGCACTGCTGGCCAGCAGTGAGTTTATGACCCCCTAAAAGACCTGTTCCAGTTTCTCCTGCACCAGAGCCTTCACCATCAGTTCACATCATTTGTTTTCTTCCCCTCTGAATTGTGATTTTTTTTTAAATTTGTTCTAATAAATTGTAGCTTAATACATGAAAAAACCCTGAAATATTGCACTCTAGAGCTGCATCATCCCAATATCCAACCCACTGATGAAAACACCCAACTCCTGCAGCATCCCACAGAACCTCACAGTTGTTCAAATTTAGACTGAGCCTTCCAATGTGCTTAAGATAATAAAGCTCCCAAATAATTTCAGTATCAAGAGGCTTATAGACTTGAAAATCTTTTCCATATCTGTCACCTCTGACATCCATGAGGTCACTTACCCTGCAAATGGGATGAGAGGGCTTTGCTGGTTCATTTTGCGTCAGCACACATCTGGAGCTTCCCAATTCATTCCCTCCCAGGTCCTTAAAATACTGAGAACTCACTAAGCACAGTCAGAGTTCATATCCTTTGACTGAACACTCGGTTACTCTCATTAAGAATATTTTCACTTTTTAATTTCTATGTATTTTGCTCATAAACCTCCTTTGGATTCTCTATTATTAAAACCTGAAAGGCAAATAGTGCTGATCCAGAGGCCACGATCTGTGAGTTCTTGGGCACTCCAAGTCTTATAATCTTGTACTGAAAAGTATAATACAGTCAAATACTATTCTAAATTACTGGTGGTCTTCTGTTTTGTTTTTTAATTATATGTAGCATGGAATTAGAAACATTTTAACATATTACAAGCAATTCAAAGACACCTCCTGGTCACTGCATTCCATTGACAAATATTTAACTCTCCATTTTAAAACATCCTTTTTGAAAGAAACTTGCCTAGTTATTCCTTAACACTAAACATGTCTTAAAGCTTCTTACAGCATCAGTCAACTTTTGAGGCTGCTCTTACGTTTTTTCACTAATTTACTCAAGTTCTAAAGTATTTCATTGATGACTTAAAATAGTTTTATGGACACCAAGTGTCTTCCAAAAGGAAGCATCTGAACTGGTGATGATGCTTCCTGTGACTTCGGAGGACACCAGCAGCAGGGGCTGTTAAATTGTCCTCAGCAGCATCACCACAAAAAAGGAGATGAATAATTTCTATTCAAACCCCAGAGAGCCATTAGACAGCAGGAAAACAACTTCCTGAGCTGCTGTTTTGCTGAGACACCGGAGCTCACGCCCTGCCAAGCATTAAGGAAATGTAACATTTCTTGATTGTGTGAATTCCTATTTCACTGAAACAGGATATTGTTCCCCAGACACCATCATTTCAATGCTAGTCGAGGATGACCACTTTATTCACAAGTATTATCTTCCTTTTGGCACAAACATGGACCTTTCAACCTCACATTTCGGTGAGTCTGAGGAAAGCAAAAAGAGGCTCATTTTAAGCTTCCCTCTTTTACGCTCACCTTTATTAAAGCATGCCATTTTCAGGTAATAAAAATAATTTATTCCCTCTTTTACAACGACAGAATGCTGCAGGAAGTGAAAATATTACACAAGGGGACAGTATTTGTACACCACCATTTTTGGCACGATAGAGACCACAGGGCTTTTATACAGCTGAGGGGTCAGTGTATGAAATGCTTGGCATGTAAAAAGGGCTAGGAAGGAAGACAAGGTCTGCGGATAGCAGAGTCTGAAATCCCTCCTGTTTCCTAAATGACTGCATTTAAATATTCAGAAATTCAAAAATCATTTTTGTTGCAACTGTTAAATATATTTAAAAATTTACTAGAACCGTCAGTGGAGCTTCCACTTCCTGCAGGGGATTGCTGCAGCCAAAAAATGTTACCAAGAGTTTTGAAACCAACTCCACGATAGAAATCTCTCTGCACACGATTTATTTTTTTAAGCAGTTCAATTCTCTCTTTCAGAAGAGCTTTATTTTAAATATATACTTTGATCTCACCCTTCATCCACACGAGCACATTCAGCTTTCATGGAAATCAGAGGGGAGTTCCTAAAAATTACAGGGGTTTTGCCCTTTGGAGTCTGACAACTAATGAACCTCTGCCCATCCCTGAGGCACCTGGCTCAAGACAAAGTCAGAGATGAATCCTTGCTCTCGTGTCCCAGATCCCTCAGGCCTCAGCAGGGATGTCTGGGAACACTCACCTGCAAGAAATGCCTCCCCTGAGGGCTGAAAGCAGTTTTGCTTCTGAGTGGGAAATGTTTTGTATATGGAAATATTTTGTGTTCTAACCTTGACTGTCACCCACGGTGGGGCACCACCTCCCTGCCTGGCTGCAGGTTCTTCTTGTTACAAATGGAGTGCCAGGACGAGGGGGAATGGGTTTGAACTGAAGGAGGGCAGGTTTAGATTGGATATTGAGAAAGAATTCTTCCCTGTGAGGGGGAGGAGGCCCTGGCACAGGTTGCCCAGAGAAGCTGTGGCTGCCCCATCCCTGCAAGTGTCCAAGGCCAGGTTGGACAGGGCTTGGAGCAACCTGGGCTAGTGGGAGGTGTCCCTGCCCATGGCAGGGGTGGAATTAGGTGATCTTTAAGGTCCCTCCCAACCCAAAACATTCTGTGATTCTATTCTTATTAAATAAATTTAACTGACAATTATTCTAATGCTGTATTTGTAAGGATTGCCTCATTTATATTAAAAATACAGAGCGCAATAATGTAACAATATCTTAATACACGATAAATATTATTATATAATTATTATCCTGGAAAATTAATTTTATTAATGAAACTATTACTCTCACAATAAATGGAAAGGTTACATCATGCAAAGCCAGTGGAGAATTTGAGTACACAAATTAATTGTGCACCTGCATGAAGTAATTTAGAAAAGGATGTTTTAATATTTAAAACTCTGCTAAATATTATGATAAGCTTTATAGCACACTACATTTCAGAACAAAGCTTGCAGTGATTGGGGTAGGAATAAGTTTCTGAATTTTAAAAGGGTTGACATTATAGTCAAACATTTCAGTAAATTAAAGTATAACATTCTCCAATCCTCTTTGTGTAATAGGACCCACTAATGTAGCACAATTTCAATAAAACATATTTATTTTCTGATTGCTTTTAATCTTCAAAGTGTTTTTTCAGATATTGCTTCTGTGTAAATATTGAAAATTATCATTTGGTAACCCAAATACCAAAATAAGGCATTAGACTGATTTATTTAATCACCAAGGCCAAAAACCAAATCACGAAATGCACCAGCAATATTAAAGACTATTAACAACCTGTCACAGAACAGATTCTATAACCATGAAGAGATTCACGATAAAATTAAATGGTCTCACACACAAATGTGTGTTCTCATTTCTGAACTTTGGGTGAAAACCCCGAAGAACCCATCTTGAAAAAATAAAAACCATCAGGAACTCTTTCAAGAGACAAATCATTCATTATAGACACAGTAGAGCTACCCATGAGTGTCACCACTAAAACTGTTCATCAACAGCAACTTTAATTAACAACTTAAATCACGACTGAGCACTAAGTTAAAACTAGAACAGGACAACCTGAGCAAGGTAACTACACTCCTAACTTAAGCACTTTTCTTATGCACCCAAATTTAATAATGTAAAATATTTTAAAATTCAACTTCTAAAAATTCTTCTCAGTCCTTCAACATGTCCCTGGATTTAAATTTAAAAATGAGAGAACTTTTTAATATCTGAAATTTTCCAAAACCCCTTGTGGCTTCTGCCCATATATTGCTGGCTGCCCTCATGGCTGGAATATTGAAACAATTCATGAGAAGCTCATTAAAACCTAACAAGACAAGTCTTCTGGTGCATCTCATCAGAGCAGATAATAGCCTACAATCTAGAGCATGAATATAAGAAACAAAACAGAGCCTTTCAGACAAAGAACACTTGGAATGCATTGTTCCCATAAGCAGATGTTAAATTACTTCACTGTAAAGTGGGATTTATAAAACCCAAAGAAATTGTTATTTTTCTGTGAACAAACAGGATGAGTTCATTATTTCAGCAGGTGACACCGAGGTCCTGCACACGTGTCTCCCTGTGTAGGCAGAGGTGTTGAAAGTAAGAACTGGTTGTTGACCAAAAATGCAACATGTACAGAGAAGTACTGACAGAGCAGGATGCAATGGGTGTATCCAGACTACCAGACTGGCTCAAACATGACAATAATTCTTAAAAAAAACTTAGATAAGCCAGCTGGCTCGAGATTAAACTATCATTTAATTGGAGCTGTAGATCCTTGTGTGCAGAGAGACAAGGACCAGAGACAGCTCAGAGATACACCTTGAGATAAGATGGATACAAAGAAAGCTCAGAAAATGCCTCAGAGCCTTTCCTGGGAATTGTTAACATCAAATACACCCCACAGAAAGCAAACAAAATCAAATGCTGACTTCATGCCTGGGTAAACACCTTGGGGTTGTCACGTTCCGAGGACACCGTTCCTGGTCGCACATTCATTCTTACTTTTCTTATCAAAAATAGATCTCCACAAATATTTGCCTCAGAACCGTAAAAAACCCACTCAATTACCTGCCATAAAGAACATATTGATGCTGTTTGTCATTTAGTCTCGTGGGTGTAACAACATCAAACTGTGTAAAACAATGTATTAAATGCGTGTACTCACATCAGTGTCGGGCCCCTTGTCAGCCCCAGGACAAGAGAAGGTAACGAACTCATGGCACCTCTTATGAACCACAAAACAGCAAACTGGTGAAAAGAAAAAAAAAGGGGAAACCCACAGTTAGAATGGCACAGGTTTGGTAGTGTTGTTTGTTTGGGTTTTTTTTATCTTTTCTAATAAATATAATTACTGAAGAAATAAGACTTCTAGTCAAATATTTCACCTGTAAGTCAACGAAAGAAAGCAGAGCCTCGTGTTAAGTAAGATACAAGACACCAAGTAAACACTATAATTAAAGAGGAGATAAGCATGCACATTTAAAAAACAAAAGACTCTACACAATGATACATTTTTAATGTTTAAAGCAGCCCACAGGGTTTGAATATAGTGTGGGATGACAATTCTGTGAAGCCACATTTCCTGAATCTAAATCCCTGTCACAGGGACTGTCAATGTGCACTCAGCAAGAGCAGGAAGCAGAAGCCAGGAATGTTAAGCTGGAATGAAACCCATCCTTGGGTGTGGGATTTGTTCACCTGAATGCCTTGGTGAAGGTCTCTATCCAATGTCTTTAGTAAATTATTTCTGTGAGGAACCAAAGCTCTGAGTGAAGCCTGTTGTAGAGAACAGAGTGTTCTCATATCACAGGATGGCAGGAGATAATGGGAAAAGAAAATGGGTTCCTGATTGCAATATGAATGCCATTTAATATTTATGAATGATCTCAAAGAACTTTTTCTTTCTGAGATAAGAAAAGCTTATTTTAATTTAACTATGCCATGGGACTGAGGTTATAGGTTGTCCCAGACAGGTACCCCCAACCACATAAAAAGAACAATTTGCTTGAGTGTGCTTACTTTAAGAAGTCAGTATTTCAGCTTTTCACCCTCATTATGGGCTCTTTCTTAATGTTAAGCTTAGTTCAGGTATTTCAAAACTGGTCCACATTTCAACAAAACAAAACAATTGAGATTTGAGACTGAGAAACTCTGGTACTAAACACTGTGGCATCAAGCAGTGAGTCAGGAGAGCAGAATGAAGTGATGCAGAAGTAATTCACAGTTTCTTTACACATAATCCATTCCCTGTATACTTTGAATTTTGCATTTCCAACACATAAAAATACATTATTTCAAAGGACACTTCTAAAAAATAAAATAGATTTGAATTAACTGACAATTGCAAACCTGGAATTTCCTCAAATTCAGGGGAAATCATAATAAATCATCTCAATTGCTCACTTCACCAGGCAACTTTAACAGTTCTCTTTCCCACTTAAAATGTCTGTGACTTGATTTCACCTAATGAAGAGCTGAGAAAGCTGCTTTCAAGTGCCCTGCCTGCAACTGCAGTGTCCAACCACAATTCCACCCTAATTCCTCGTTCACATCCCCGAGTCGCCCATCCAGCTTTAAAGAACTCTAATCACCCTTCTGTCTCTCTCCAGCTCTTTTCCATCAGCATCCCATGCAGCAATTGTTTCCAACTGTTCTATTTCTGACATGGCATATGTTTATTCTTTGGGCAAAGGGAACGAAGTGGGCTTTGCTCCACTGATTCCAGATAAGCTCTGCCGACTTGACATGAGCCAGAGTTCTGGCTCGGTGTCTGCTGCCCACTCGGTCGTCTGGTTTGTTAATCAATCTAAATCCCAATGAATCCTACAATTATCATTTTGATGGTTTGTTTCTACCAACTGGAAGATCACTAAGTGGCAATTACCATTAATATTACTTGCAGTTGAAACATGTTTTACTTTCAAATGGTATTTTTGGTTCCAAACCTTCCACTCTCAAAGACAAAAGACTGATTTGTGTTTGCAGGAATAAATCACATGCAGGAAAAAAAAAAAATCTTGGTATATCCTTCAGAAAACAAAGGAGTTAACTAATTACTTTTGTATGCAATGATCATACAGTTGCAAAATATAATGTGATAATTTATGCAAAAGTTCTGAGAAATACTATGAGAACATCCAGAAAACTTGTAGAATAGAGCTTGCTGTTCAAATTAGGACCTTAAAGTGGCTACTCCAACTCTGCCTTTATTCAGCAATGTATGTTATGGATACTCTGCATATTTGGACAATTCTTTTGGGCAGGATTTATGAAACACCATAGTCACATCTTATCTCTGAGCTGGCAACATCTCACTGCACAATAAGGAACTCATTCAACCAGAGACAATGTCGACCTTGTTTTAAATTCCATATAAGCATCAAGATAAATACGAAGGAAGAACAGTGCCACTGTTTTCCACGGCCTCATTCCGTGGCTCTGAACTTTAGCTGTTAACTTCCTTGGAAATGATGCTCATCACACTGCAGTGAAATTACAATTCAGCTGCCAAAATAAGTAAACCAGAGAGATTTGTCCTTTCGGACTTTGGGCTGCACCTTAAACCCAGTCACTTCCTTAGGTTTTGATTATCAATGTTCACTACTGAGCTCTTAAAGCTGAACTTCTGTTCAGCCTAATAACAGACTGACTAATGTGGGCACCTGAACACAGGCTGTATAAACTCTTTTCCTCTTATTTCCCATTTGTAATGGCTTATTTATCTCCAAAGAACTTGGTTCCTCAGTAAGTGATCTGAATGCATCAGCCCTCTCTGATCTTCAGAGAATACTCAAACGAGAACCAAATAGTTTGACATAAAAATAAACAATGGAATAGGCAGCTCTCATGGACTCATAAATCTAAAGGGAAAAGAACAAGGGTGAACTGAAATCCCTTGTTAGCAGCTGTCATCTCCATACATAAAATTTAACATCCAAATTTTCATGTTGAAATCCAACCATTAGAGTGTATTTTAGCAGTGGTTTTTCAAGTTTTCTTTACTTCACAAAGCAACACAGATCTGGAGGTTTCATGTAAAGATTTACTTAGTTCAGATAAGTGCAAACAAAATGTCATCTGCTTAAAATAACACGTCATTTTTTTTAGCAATAGAGATGAAAAATAACCTCTCACTAGTTACTTGTTTTGAAAAGATGTTAAAGAGCTTCACATCACTTTATTGCAGCTGTTAAGAAGTCACATTACGTTCACCACCTTCATGTAATGAAGGTTATATTGCACTGCTTTGCAGAGGCTGCCAGGAAATGTGTTGCTTTACATTTTAACATGATCCCAGTCGAAGGGAGCTGGCACAGGCTGTGCAGAGCAGCTCGAGAGCAAAGTGGCATCTCGAGGCTGACAGCTAAAATTAAAAAGAAAATTATTGAGGTCTGTTCATGCTTTGACAGCATGACTTTAATCTGTGAATGTATATACATATATATATGTATATAATATGGATGTGAGCTTCAGTCCTTTGGGCTTGCTGGAGACAAATCCTCTCCCTGCAGCCCAGGGAGGGATGGAGAGAACAAAACAGGCCTTGTGTTGCAAAAACAGACCAACTGCTGGCTCTCTGCTGGCATGTGGCATCCACCAGGCTGCTCCCTGCCCTCCACTCTCCCAGCAGTGCTGCAGAGAGCACAAAATGCTAAATGGACAGCAGGAAAACAAGGAAGAATGTGGGAAGGAGCACTCAGTGCATTCTCAAAGCAAACAAGTGGAAGATGCACAACAGGACTTGTAGGATTGATGGTACATAATGAAGGGCAATTCATACTATTCAACAGTCTTCTGTCCAGGCACAATGCTGAGAAAAACAGGTTGTTATTAACAATATATATGTGTTGTCATCACTTAGAGTTACAAGGCTGTTGTAAATTTCCAGCTGTTTTCTAAATTATGTGATGTGCAAAGGTTATTGTGATATATTGTTGGGTTAGAGTCATCTGCCCAGAAATACTGTTTTGTGTTGCTTTCATGTATGACACGGAGGGATGAGACAGAAATGAGATATTACAATGATAAATAAGAGAAATAGAAGCAATCTCCTCTATTAGATGATCCATAAAGAAGAAAAGGCATTGCTGAGCCCCAGTTACCCACACATCATTTAGCCATATCTCTGAAGAGCTCCATAACCACAAGCATTCCAAGGAAAAATATCAAGACAAAAGTCATATGCTTTTGGGAATTATTAAAAACGGTCAACAGATTATTTTTTTTTTAAAGTCATTTGTATTCTCCCCCTTTTGGAAGAAAAACAACAGGTTAGATGAGCCTTTCCAATAGACATGAATATCTCTACTATACCACAGTATTCATGTGCTCAGTAAGACAAATTAAGGTGCAAACCCAAAGGGTGGAGAGAATACATTCCTCAGAGTCAAACTGAACAGCCACTTACCAATACAGAGAAATAAGTGAGGGTTTTTCTCAAGTCACCTTTGACTCATTTTTGCAATCACAGAATTACTAAGGTTGGAAAAGATCACCAAGAGAATCAAGTCCAACCTTTGAACAAACACCACCGTTCCCACCAAACCGTATCGTGACGTGCTGGTGCTCAAGACTATTCTCCCAACTCAAATTATGAATTTATAAAGTATTAACCACTGTAAAAATTGTGTGGGCTTGATGATCTCAGAGGTCTTTTCCAGCCTACTCGATTCTGTGAGCTGTGAAGCTGTAGCTCCACTATCATGCCATTATCAGCTGCCCAACCACAACAGGTACACGTATTTTGCTGCATAATTTGTTTCCAGGTTTCAAGTATTGATCCTTCCAAAGGAAGCAGCCAGAGAGGCCTCATTGGCAGCAACAGGGAAACAACTGGGTGTACACTCAATATTTGTTGTTGGGCTTCTGCTTTTGGGTTTTAAACAAGAATTGATTCGGAACCGGACTGAGGAGCTACCAAGGAAGCACAAAATCTTCTCTGTGCTACTCTCAGAGGGGACCAGAGGACTTCCAGGGCCTCCATGGGAGCTCAGAGCAGGGAGTAATTGTTGTGTTGCTGTTTCACATGCTTTGCATTTTCAGAGAGGCCACAGAATTTCCCCAAGGGGCCCATATCACTGCCTGGCTGGTGTTTCCTGCACACCACTGAGCAATGAATGAATGTGTCACATGGCACGTGTTAGTTCATGCTAAGGTTAAATATAGCAATCACAATAAACAGAAATAGGGTATTACCTCCTCAAAACAGACTAATCGATGAAATGCCAACTCCATTTGTTATTTAAAGA